CGCGAGGAACAAAAGCGTGAGGGACAAAAGCGCGACGGAACAAAAACGTGAGGGACAGAACCGCGACGGAACAAAAACGCGACTGGATATAAGTGCAAGAAACAAAAGCGCGAGGGACAAAAGCACGATGGAACAAAAACGCGAGGGACAAAAGCGTTGTTGAAATGGCTGTCAACAAATACAGGACCGGGCATAGAAAGCCCCCAGCGAGGAGTTCAAAATATGAGCAAGTTAATTCTAGATTGTTAAACTTAGTCCACGAATACCGTTTCTTCAACGTACAAAATCACCTTGAAGCAGTAGCTTTACACTTAACCATTTGAACTCAGCATTCCATAATTTGTATTTTTAACTAATTTATTTTGTTTGTTTTGTTAATAAAGTTTATCATGCTGTCCTACTTAGAACTATAGAATAAGTGATAAACAAATTGAATCAATAATAATCAAGAAAACGCAGACTTACTCAATCTAACCCAAACTAACCCGTCCGCCTAGTGCGATATAGTCCTCGTAAGCTAGAATTTTATTGCAGACTTACTCAAACTAACCCAAACTAACCCGTCCGCCTAGTTCGATCTAATCCTCGTGAGTTAGCATTATATTGCAAACTTACTCAAACTAACCCATCCGCTTAGTGCGATCTAGTCCTCGTAAGTTAGCATTCCATTGCAGACTTACTCAATCTAACCCAAACTAACCCGTCCGCCTAGTGCGATCTAGTCCTCGTAAGCTAGCATTTTATTGCAGACTTACTCAAACTAACCCAAACTTACCCGTTCGCCTAGTGCGATCTAGTCCTCGTAAGTTAGCATTTTATTTAAAAAAAACTGTCGACCTTGTTTTTCAAATAAAATGCTAACTTACGAGGACAAGATCGCACTAGGGGAACGGGTTAGTTTGGGTTAGTTTGAGTAGTCTGCATTTTTTTGATTATTATTGATACAATTTGATGTGTCCCCGTTTTGCTTAGAGGTCGTTGTTATTGATGTCGCTGTTTTAAATCTCGTTCTTCACATATGTCGCTCTTCTGCAATGTCGCTGTTTCAAGTATTGCGCTTTCAAATGTCGCTTTTCTGATATGTCGCTACTTTTTTCACATGTCGCTGTTTTGAATGTCGCTATTTTGATGAATTGCTTTAAAAATATGTCGCCTTTTTAATGTCGCTCTTTTGAACCGGAGCCACTGAGAATGTCTAAATGTCTTGTATTTTGGAAAGCGTTCTATATTCCTCGTAGATAGTTGAGCGTTCTCGTCCAATCGTGCTTTATTCCAGTCACGTTTTTGTTCCTCGCGCTTTTGTCCCACGCGCTTTTATCCAGTCGCGTTTTTGTCCATCGCTCCTCATTCCAGTCGCGTTTTTGTCCTGTCGCGATTTTGTCCCTCGCGTTTTTATTCTGTCGCGCTTTTGTTTCTTGAGTTTTTGTCCCTCGCACTTTTGTTCAGTCGCGTTTTTGTTCCTCGCGCTTCTGTTCAGTCGCGCTTTTGTTCCGTCGCGCTTTTGTCTCTCGCGCTTTTATCTAGTCGCGTTTTTGTTCCTCTCGCTTTTCTCCAGTCGTGTTTTTGTTCCGTCGCGGTTTGGTCCCTCGCGCTTTTCGTATCGCGCTTTTCTCCCTCGCGCAAACGGCTGTCGCGCAAATGACACGGAGCCCTCAAAATCACATATAAATTCAAGTTCACACACTAACGTAAGGTCATAATTCATTATATTTCAAGGTCAGATTTCCATAATTCAGGACCACGGTTTCAAGATCAAGGGGCAGGGCCAGAGTCGAGTTCAAGGACACGGAGCCGAAGGATAGGGAGGTGTACTCGGATCGAGTAATGTACACTACTGTTACATTTTTTTTTCTCTGGCATCATCCTTTTTTGTTGCAGTAGGTGTGAGTAAGTGGAAAGAAACGATATTAAAATGACGAATAGAAACGAAAACGATATACATAATTAATTTACTTAATGTAGTGTAGTGTTAGTGTGTTGCATCTGATGTTAGTATGTGTTAGCAGTGTTAGATCATTGGCTCCGAAATTTATAAGTATGAAGAATTACCTATGTTTTCAAACATGCAATTGCGTATGGAGGACTTTCAGTTGATTATAAGTGCAAGTATAATAAGATCCATTGAAATAGTAGATTAAAACTAAAAATTTGGATTATACAACAAAAAATTGGCTTTTAATTATGTGAATGTATACATTTGTTAAAAACGTACAGGATCATTCACTATATTTTGACCCCTAACCTCTATTTTATACGTAGATGATAGTTGTAAATACAAAAGTTGTGCAGTTTTAGCTAAATTTTTAGAATCCATCTTCAGAAACAAAAAATTATTGTCAGAAATTTGAAATTTTGTGTACTTTCAACTTTTTTCAAATGGAATGCTCTATATTTGATTCTATATTCTTGAAGAGCACAATTTTCCTTTTCCAAAAATATATAGATGGTTTATATTTGGTTGAGCCGTCTCCAACATATCTGGCTCTAAAAATTTCAAAAATACCATCAGACGAACCAAGTGCCTCAAATTTTACCTGCAGCTTTCACCTTTACTGGTAGAATGGTTCACATAATCTAAGTCAGTAGAATAGTATTTTTACAATTTTTAGAGCCACATATATTGGACACGGCTCAACCAAATATAGACAAACTATATATTTTTGGAGTCGGAAAATCTTCAAGAATATAGAATATAGGGCGTTCTATTTGAAAAAAGTTGAAAGTGCGCAAAATTTCAAATTTCTGACAATAATTTTTTTATTTCGGACGATGGATTCTGAAAGTTTAGCTAAAACTGCGCAACTTTTATATTTACACCTATCATCTATCTGCAAAGGTAAAGGCTACAGCTGCGGGGTCAAAATATAGTGAATAGCCCGGTGCATATTTTAATACCGTCTCCAAAAGAACAATAAATAAAAATGTATAGTTCATGATAGTTCTATCAAAACGGTTTGCCTATTCAACTGAAGGGCCCACAATAACGGTTCAAAGTCTCTTGATCTTTATATCTCTATGATGTATATGATGTTGTAAGACTATGTAGGTAGGTAGTAGAATAGTTTCTCAAATTTCTTCCATTATGATTTGTTAGTTGAAGTAAGACGGTTACCTTTTTGCGTGTAAAAGATAAAATACAAACATTCTTCCAAAAACATTAGTTGATTGACGTTTGACGTCCTCATATCCTATTTCCAATCAAAGTACCAAAAAAGATAGAGCGCTGAAAAGTGAGAGGCTCAAGATTCGAAAAAGCGGACCAAAGTAAAATTGGATATATTAAAAGAGTCTCAAGAATTACTAGCACACGAAAAAATTGTTCCTGAGTTTAACTAGCTGATGAAATAGAAATGGATAATTTTTTTGTCGAGGCTGCTGTGATTGATCACACTTATCTTGTGGAAGGCTGAATTTTTACCGCGCCAACAGAAAGGGTAAAAATGGACTTCAAATTCCGATCAGCGACTAAACGAAAAATTAAAAGAGCCTTGTTATTGAGTTATTTGATTCGCTGTTGTCCCTATATACATTCCCAGTGATTATTCATATAGTAAACTCTTGCATTGAAAATATGTAGTCTATTTCCAGGATGTTGGAAGATATCTCATGTGACGCCAATGCCAATGAGACCAATAATAAATAGTGTATACTTATTTCCGACTCTTCGCTCTCTAAACTCGTTGAACAAGTTTTGGAGGGTCCACTAAAGGACATGTCATACAATGTCAGACATTCCGACATTCCATTCTTGCTTCAAGAGATCATTCTTTAAAGATTGATGGCACCAAGTTACAATGGGCTCTTTCACTAATTTTTGAAATTGGCATATTTGGATAAAGCAACTAAAAACAGAATTTTCTGTATTTTTACTTTTGAAAAATTCAAAGTCCTTCTTGAGAAAACAGAAAACAAAGAAATACCTCCAAATAAAAACCCAGAATTTATTTCTATGACGTCGCAGCTCGCAATTTGACCGTGTTGCCACTAATTGTCAACATTGAAAATTTGTAATAGATTTAATTCTGAAATGTTGGCAAAATCTCATGAAAAGTAGTTAAATTAATTAGTTATAGATTCAAGATTTTATTTTTTATTTTTTTATTATTTATTTATTTTACGCTGCACTACATTTAGTCACAACCGACAACAGCGCATTCGAACCTTTACGTATCTTTACAGAGCGCAAACACAGCCGAGCCCTTCCTCCTTGCAACGACATAAGCGAAATGAAGAATATTTATGTGACGTCGGCAAATCGGCGCGTTTTAAAATAGTTTGAATTTAGGCACTTTTGATTGCCTATGAAAAACTTATTGAACCTTGTAGAACATTTTTTTTTTGGTATATATGCCTAAAATAGTCCCTCCTTTGAGATTTTATACTTAAATTACGTATTTAAATTTTAGTGAAAGAGCCCATTATTCTTGTTATTTGGTCCAGGAAAGTATCGTGATTGAAGTAGGGAAGTCTTAAGTATAATCGTAAACAACGGAGTTGTTAATCTGTGTAAATCAGCAAAATAATTGGGTGTTGTTTCTAGACTTTCCAGCACGAATTACTCACCACTGACCAAATTGATAAAACTTTATTGTATAAAATAGTATGCAGAATGAAAAAATTACCTTTCAGTTCAGTGACGATTATTTCACTGATAATATTTTATGTTGTTTTTCAACACGCGATGCTAATTTATAGATAAAATATCGTTCGAGTATCAATTTCCTCAAAAAATAAAATACAAAAATAAATTCCCAAAGTCACATCACGGCCGGGCCATGTAACAATCCGTAAGGGGGTTTACGGGCCTATATAAAAATGATTTGTTGTGTAATAACCATTTCAAACGCCTCTTCATCCGGGAATTTATCCCCATAGGGAGCTTTTCGGTCATAACCGTTCTCGGAAGTCATCGCGTCTATGCATCGATTTTTCATGGCAAACGTTAAACTGTTTTGAATTTTTAAAGCTGCAGAGCAATAAAATAAAAAGTAAGCTCTTACCAAATTTGGTTTAAATGGTGGCTCCAATTGCCTAGCCTCCAATGCTGCCCAGTCAATCGGCTTGAAAAATACGTGATCTTGTATGTCTCCGTGAGGTGAAAAACGATGTCCAAGTCTTTTGTTGCCGTCCTTTTCCAGAAACTAAAAATTTAAATAAACTTTAATATCCCGAGTTTAGTTTCAAGCCAGAGGCAATTTTCGGGCATTAAAAACTGGATTGCTTGCTTTAATAAAAATGCAGTTTATTTTTACGAGTGGGCTCTAAAAGTAATTGTATATTACATTTTTGCTAAAATTTATCTTACTTGAAGTAATACGGATCCAGCTTCGGCGCTTAAAAATCTCGGAATGACTGGTTTTTCATTACAAATTGACCAAAATAATTCGTCTTCGTCGCTTCCACTGAACGGAGATTGTCCCAGTAGCATCTCGTACAAGAGGACACCAAATGACCACCAATCCACACATTGATTATAATGTTGTCCTTTGATTATCTGTAAAAAAATATAGTATTATAAAGGTTGTGGCTCTCTGCTCTAAATGAGGATTCTTTTATGATAGCTACATCGATATGTGTTGAGAAAATCAGACACTTTTGCTAGACTTGGCTATTTTTGTATTGCAACATTGCAAATGTTACTTGTTCTTTTTTTTTCAAATATAATTTTATATTACCTTTAATGTTGACAGTCTGGTGACTAGCATTAAAAAAAAAAGGTTTCTGCTGCTAATAATACAGTATCCGCCAAAATAAACAGTACTGAACATATAAATTATATCATTTATTAATTTGTATCATGCGTATATGCTCAAAAAATGCATCATAGCGACACAAAAAAGCTTCATAAAGATTCTGCAAATCATTGAAAATATTTATTAAGAGTGATTGATGAAATTTTTCTGAGACTTGTTTCAAACTTGAGCCTTTATTCCTTCCAAATCCGTATAACTGGAAATAGTGCTCTACTAAGAAAACTGTTTCTTAAGTTGAAAGATACATAATGACGAAGATTTGCCAAGTAAGCGAAATATGATAAATCTAACTTGCGTGCGCAATTACTCAGAGCTCTAGATTTCGGTACTGTTTATTTTGGCGGATACCGTATTAGCAATTATTAAACTAGAGGGGACGATTTTCATTTAAAGAAGTACCAGTTTAGTACCAACGCTTTCCGTTGGCTATTTTTCGAAAGGAAGCTCTGCCTGTAGAGATTGTCCGTTTCTTCGTCCCTTTTTAATCTTGCCGTTGCCCTAAAAGGTCGACTCTAGCCGAGGGGCAGCCATCTTCCTAAACTGTGATTGCCGTTCTCGTGAAAAGAAATACCTCATCCGCCATCAGGCACTGTTTTAACGAAATAAAGTTGCGTAAGGCAATAATCCATTTAATACCGAAAATATTTAAATCGAAAGTCTTGTGATTACCGTTTTATTTGGGTTTGAATTTCAAACCCCCTAGTGGTAAGTCCTTTTTAATTTTTTTTAAAGTAATGGTTGTTTATGGGATGCCTCTGTTACTTAGGGTTTTCCGGGTAGCGTTTTTCCGTTTCCTATTTGGTTACCGCTACATGGAGCGCTAATCCTTTAGGAATTGTAAAGTTATATCTAGCATCGCGTTCCCTATTAGGCTAGCGCACATGTCTATCGCTACATGGAGCGCTAATCATATAGGACTTGTTGAATTATATCTGACGTCACGTTTCCTATTAGATCAGAGCACACTCTCTCCGATCGTCTCATTGGTCGTCTGCAGGCATCCATTGCATTGCAATCCATTTCATTATCGTAATTTTTTGAGGTTAATTGGTGGTTACAGGTGGTTCAACAATTTTGGATATTTCTCGTTGTGTCTCTTTTATTTTTTCTCTTAATTCTGGCGTTATGGAAGAGATAATTAAAAAGTTTGATACTACGTGTAAATTTATAAGTTGTGTCAGTAAGAAGGAAAGTGAATATGAAGTAGTTTTGCGGACCAAAGTAGATTTTCCTGACTACGATGAACAGTGTATGCGGTGGATAGGCGAGTTTTCTGCTGCTACAAATACGCAGTGGATTGTTTCACAAAACTATCCAAATTTGCAGAGGCTTCACTATAGAAAAGATTTTGTTTGTCATCACAACAAAAAAAATAAATGCCGCAAAAACGAAAGCACAAGGGAGAGAAACAAAAATTGTCCTGCAAAAATTATATATAAAGTTAAAAAAATAAATAGATTTACTAAATACAGAGACCCTTTTTTGAAAGAAAACTTGAATGCAGTAATTGAGGTAGGTACCTTTTGCTCTAAAAAAATTGTTTTCATTGACATCACAGAACATATCACCTCTAGAAAAGTATCTGCAATGGTATGTACCGGTTATGAATTACGGCGCCCTCGTTGACTGAAAACCCAACTAATCGAGTATTCTTGACAAAAAGGCGAATTGATTTTTTTCATATATTTTTATTATTTTTGTATAATTTTTAATGTTCAACTGCATTTGGCTTGCTGACTCCTCTTAGCTCTTTTCGCCTCACTTTTTTAAAAACTATGACTGGCAGGAAGTTTCCGATGTCGAACATAGTGCAAAAAGAGTTAGTAAGTTAGCAAGAGTCACGCAGTTATAGGTAGATCGCAAAGTAAATACGAATAATAAATACAAATACGAACGAAACGAAACAAACGAATAAATACAAAAAAATACGAACAAAAATTAGGTTTTTTTTCAACCAAAACTTTTTGAATTTTCACTTTACCGCGCGTAGAAACCGTGGGGTACAACAACACAATTTAAAAATTCAAATTTTGACTTTTAAAATGACAAAATAAATGACAAAACCAACCAACACAAATCACTGTCCACGCCACAGATACCTGTAAATTTCTCTTATCTCCCGACAGTGTCGCCATCGTTGAATGAAAACCTAACTAAAAACCTTTGTCGCGATTCTTCCATTTGAGATATTTTTCTATAGGTGATATGTTCTGTGATTGACATAATTCTTTGTATTTCATTGAAACAGATTAACTTCAAAACACACTCACCGAATTCATGTTGCGGAGGCATACAGCTTTTTACGCATGAGTGAGTTAACGAAAGAAAAGTTTTATAGGTATTTTGAAGATGGTCTGTCGGCTAGTGAAGCAAAATCATTTCACAGGTCTGTGAAGTACTTGCCAATGGTCACACCAATCCTATTGATCGTTCCATTTATCATTTGTTCGAAACTTGGAGGTATGTGTTTTCACGTTTTCGTGCAATATGAATTAATCACCCTGTATGTTTTTTTTAGAGAAGAAAATTATGGTACTCGTGAAGTACGTAGTATGACAGAAAAGTTTTTGGAAAAAAGAGATTATTTTGAAGAAAATGGTGTCAAAATAAGTATTCAGGAAGACCCTTTTTGCTGTGTTCTTTTGACTCCACTGATGCAAAGAGCCCATAACATACAATTTTCAAGTGAAATTGTATTTGTAGATTCTAGCGGTTCCTGTGACCAAGGTGGTTCTTCAGTCACGTTTTTTTTTTGGTGGGAGGAAAATTGAAGGAGTGCCCCTGGGCTGCATCATTCATAACTTTCAAACAGAAAAAGTTTATGAATTATGTTTCAAGCAATTTCGTGATTTAATTGGGACCGAGGGATTTCACGGTAAAGGTTTTCCAGCCGTATTTATGACGGATGATAGTGCAGCCGAGAGGAACGCTTTAAACAAAATTTTTCCACAATCTAAATCATTGCTTTGCACATTTCATGTTCTTCAAGCAGTGTGGCGCTGGTTATGGGACAGTTCACATAACATTGATAAAGACCATAGAAAAAACTTGATGCTTTTTTTCCGAGACGTGCTATATGCACAAAATGAAATTTATTGTGAATTGAACAAGACGTCACTGTGCGAAGATATTATAGCAAAAAAATATCAACTATTTCTAGAATATTTTAGCGATGTGTGGAAGCGGAGACATGAGTGGTGTCATCATTTTCGGAACGAGTATAGAATCAGAGGTCACAATACCAACAATATTGTTGAGGTATCTATACGCATATTCAAAGATCAGGTTTTAGAGAGATGCAAAGCATTTAATGCAACCTCATTGGCAGATTTTGTATGCTTTTCTCTAGAAGAGTTTTACAAGCAAAAAATAATATCATTTGTGAATGGTAGAGATATGAAGCTTCAACACTATTTTAAAAAGTTTTGTCATAAATCTGATCTTTTGACAATAATAAAAAAAACTGATACACTGTTTATGGTATCATCTTCACAAGACAATAAGTTTATGTACACAGTCGATGTTACTAACTAGAACAATGTGATTGTCCTGCAGGGACAGGAGGTAAATTTTGCAAGCACCTTTGTGTAGTTTATAATTCAGGTGTTAATTTGATAACCACACCCCATTTGTTGTTTCAAGACCGCGTTGAACTTGCTACTTTAGCAATGGGAAATAATGTCAATAGTTCTTTTTTTATGAATATGTATTTGAATTCTGATTCTTTGCCAGAAGATCAGAAGGATTTCAATAGGCCTATGCAGTCTATATCCAATGCAATCGTCAACTACGAGCCTATTAACTCCAATGTCCAGTCATCTGAAGAACATACACAAGTATTAGGGGAAAATCGTGCAAATGATAATATCACTGCAGAATATGCCGAAGAACTAAAATCATTGGAAGAAAACTTCAAAAAACTGCACCAATTTGCACAAGCTCACCCATGCAAACATATGCTAAAGAACATGAAAGAACTGAATGCTAAAATTAATAATATTGAAAATGAACAGGGATTTTATGATATTTGTTCTGCTATAGTAACCAAAAAACAAGGACGCCGAATCAAAGTACAACCAACTTCGATTAGAGAGGGGGCTACATGCAGGCTCTAGAGCGATTCAAGCAGGCAGACCATCTAATGCCGAAAAATTACGTAAAAAAGCAACAAAGAGAAAAAGGTCTTTCATTTCAAATATTTTGGCAAATCAACCGAATGCCAAAAGTCATTGAAATAGATAATCATTACCTACCTTTTTATAAAATGTGAAAGGCCATTCTTTTATTTTTATTTAATAGGAAAAAAAGTTAACCTCTGCAAGTTTTTTTATTATTTATTATTATTAAAAAGTCATGTAATAACATGGTTGGCAAAATGAGCGTATTATTTAATTTATGTGCGCTGATCTAATAGGAAACGAGACGTCGGATATAGCTCAATAAGTCCTATAGAAGTAGCGCGCCATGTAGCGGTAGTCACTTGGTAGACAATGTGCGCTAACCTAATAGGAAACGCGATGCCAGAGATAGTTTTACAATCCCTAAAATATTAGCGCTCCATGTAGCGCTAATCAAATAGGAAACGGAAAAATGCTTCCGGGTAGCGTTTTTCCGAGGAGCGTTTTTTTTTCACTCAACGGTTCCATTTCCAAAAGGCAACATTTTTAAAAAAACACCATTTTCGTGGAGCGTGGCATAGAGCTTTTGAAGGGATTCCTAGAGGAATCAAGTCCCTACCGAA